TGTACGGATGTTGGAGCTCTACCTGCCATGACGATCGTACAGGGCCAATGGATAATGAGCGTCTGTGTAGAGATGGTATGATAACACAGAAACGGTGTCCAACGGATTTCACTCCGTTTTCGTATGTGCCCCAGAAGACAACCTGACGGCAGTTCGAACTGCAACTATCGAAACGCAGAAGAACGAAAGAAGGATGACAATGGCTGTTCCAGACTGGACGAGGAGAAGGTATTGCTCGTGACCAGTGGGTATACGAATGATATTGACAGGGTGGTCGGATAGGGAGTGGGGGATGTGGGTGAAGTGCGTTGCTTCGGGTGCTAGGTCGGCTTCGCGAAGTTGAGATTCGGAAAGATGCGCTGGCGGCGTCGATAGTTCCTGGCCCCGTTCTGGCGGTAAGAAACCTGGGAAGTGGGGTGAGCGGCCATATCAGCAGACCAAACCGACGACAGAACTAACCATTCGGACAGGCTATGAATGCTTCTGGTGGTTCGAGGACCAGGCCTTGGTAATTCCCGGATCCCACGTTTGGTGAAGTGCTAGTTAGGGGGACGCCGTAACGAGCGTGAAGTGGGACTTCCACGTCCAGTTGCTTCCCACCATTCTCATCCTCGGGCAAGGATAAAGGGACATTCACATTGATCAACACATTTGTATCAGAATTTGCTACCGCATGCACAGGCTTTTCGAGATCTGCATGTCCCCACCTGACAAATGTGTAGGATTGCTGTCGTTGAGCGAGTTCGTACGGGTCGACAAAGAGAGAAGATGATAGTTGATAGAAGAGGTGAAGGGAGCAGTTTCCTGAAACGAGTTCCACAGTAGAACGCGAAAGTCTGAACAATAACCTAGAAATAGGATGGAATGAGTTGGAGTTGTGGACTAACGCGGTGTAGGTTGACATGGAAATTGAGCGTCTACAGAGCTGGAACAAGCATCAATATTATTTGTTTGCTTTTAGTGACTTTGACAAAGTTAGACACAGCCACTTTGCACGATCGATGTAAGGACATATACACATAGACTACAGGATAACAGTACCAGTAAAGTACACCTTCGAATTTAGCTGGGCGCAACGGTGGTTTCTTCTGGCCGGACCACCAGCTTTACCCCTGAAACTTGGTCGCGCTCCATCTTCTTCAGGCCTTCAACAATTCCGTTCAACCCGCCTGGCAACAGTTCAACCTTGTTTGGCTGCGCGGTCATACGTCTCGTGAGACAAGCACAGAAGGATAATAAAAGGGAAAAGCGTACCTTTATCGCGTCACTTTCCACCAAACCCGTCAATTTGGAGTACAATCCAGTGAGCAACTTGACGTTATGGTCCAATTGGCGCATCGCAAGAACAGGATTGACATGCTTGTCCTCCGAAGTAATGGTCGGGGAGAGAACAAGCATGAGATAGCCACCCGGCGCAAGAATCTCATTTCCTATGTGCTGGGTATCTGGCAGCGAAACAGCGTCGTAGACGTATTTAATCGGCTGGGTCGTGATCTTTGCTATCTCGGACTTGAGGTCAGGAAGGGAGAGATGGCGGTCGAGGACGTGGGTAGCACCGAGCGATTTGAGGTAAGGAATATGCTTAGGGGATGCGGTCGTAATGATAGGGGAGAAACCGGAAAGCTTCGCGAGTTGGATTGCTGCTCTTAGGTTAGATCTTTCTTGTGACTAAAGGTTGCTGTACACGGACGAACCAAATTGACCGACAGATGTCGCACCGCCAAGAACGAGTATCGGTTCACCTTTATAATGACCCTGACCAGCTGGCTCTACTGGACTGACGAGGCCAATGCCATGCGGGGTAGTGTTATACAGGGATACATAGGCAGTAGTCAGCCCAAGAGGAATAGTGCAGGCTTGATCGTAGGTTATATTTGAAGGTATCTAATCAATAAAAGTTAGTCCTGTGTCGCATTCGTCCAGCAGTACTACTTGCCTTGGCAAGGTGGTGTTCGTCGGCTAAGGTATACTCTTGGAACGAAGCGTAGTCGTTAGTGAATCTTCCTTGGCAAAAGCTGGTGTGTATGTAAGGACACAACTGATTTACGAGGCGACAGGGGCACGTACACTCGGTCGCCGACTTGGAACTTGGTCACTCCTTCTCCAAGAGCGACAACTTCTCCCGCAAGGTCGGTTCCCAAGACTGCGGGAAATTCGTTGATGAAGATTCCATGCTTTTGAATCTTCCAATCAACAGGGTTTAAAGCTGTTGCTTTGATTCTGAGGAGGAGTTGCCCAGCACCCGGCCGGTGAACTACGTTTGTTCCAAGAATGAAGTTTCCTTGCTGAGACTCGAGGAGAAGGGCTTTCTGTTTCGAGGGCAAGCTGGCCATGGTTTCACGGGGTGAGAGTGGGAGCCGGGTGAGGTCGAACCCCGTATTATATAGGAAAGATCGGGAGGTCGCCCAGAATTACATTAGCTTTGTCAGAAACCAGTGTGGATTCCAAAGCATCTGGAAACATGATATCACGAGTTTCCTTTCTAGAGTAAGCCCGAGGGAAAGCGTCCGTTTCACGGGGGAAATGGAATGGTTTTCCCATGAGATATAGCGCCATGGAAATATATGTGTCATCACTACATCTCACAAAAGTCGTTAGACACACGCAAGTGCTTCGGAATTCCAGTTTCACACAAGAATGAGGATAGTCAACGAACGAATGACGTATGTCGGTGAGACGTAATATTGTTTTGGTGTGTTGTGCAAGGGCCAGCTGTACAGTTGATTCGGCAAAAGCCTAATTCCCGGGCAAGGCAGGACTGAATTTGTCGACGGGCCAGACGATAATCAAGACCTCAAGACCAATGGCCTCCCGCCCTACCGTCAGCGTTCGTTCCTCCACCGGCGGTATGTTCCTCATCGCCGTCGTCAACAGTGATCATCTCATCTTGCCGTTATAGAGGCTTCCTCCTCCCTCCCTCTTCCCGCAGTATTGACTGCTCCTATCAGGCTCGATGTCGTCCAGCAAGTTCACAGTGAGTGGACTCGCGATTCATACATGGAGATATTCTGATCGTGTTGTTCGACAGAGAGCGTTGCTAAGAACAAGAGGCAAGCTTACGCCGTGAGCGAGAAGGCTGGCCACCAAACTTCTGCCGAATCTTGGGGTACCGGTCGTGCCGTTGCCCGTATCCCCCGTGTTGGTGGTGGAGGAACTCACCGTTCGGGACAGGTGAGTGCAGTAGTCGGTTCTCAGTGAAAAACAGAAAATGGACGTGTGTTCTTCAGGCTGCCTTCGGTAACATGTGCCGTGGAGGACGCATGTTCGCACCCACCAAAACCTGGCGCAAGTGGCATGTCAAGGTCAACCAGAACCAGCGCCGCTTTGCCGTCGTTTCTGCTCTCGCCGCCTCTGCCCTCCCTTCCCTCGTCCTCGCCCGTGGTCACCGTATCGAGCAAATCGAGGAAGTTCCCCTCGTCATCTCTGGCGCTGCCGAATCTTTCACCAAGACCAAGGAGGCTGTCGCTCTCTTGAAGGCTCTCAAGGCTTACAGCGATGTCATCAAAGTTTCCAACTCCCGCAAACTTCGTGCCGGTAAGGGCAAGCTCAGGAACCGCAGGCACCGTCAACGCCGTGGCCCTCTTGTCGTTTATAACGAGGACAAGGGTATTGTCAAGGCTTTCCGTAACATCCCTGGTGTTGAACTCGTCAATGTCAAGAGGCTTAACCTCCTCCAACTCGCCCCCGGTGGTCACCTTGGTCGCTTTGTTATCTGGACTGAGGGTGCTTTCGGTGCTCTTGATGAAGTCTTTGGTACATTCGATAAGACCTCCGTCTTCAAGAAGGACTACATGTGAGCATGGCCCTCCCTGAGTAAAGACTGAGTACATACTAACTTTGTTCCCTAGTCTCCCTACTGCCAAGATCTCCAACCCCGATGTCACCCGCCTCATCAACAGCGACGAAATCCAGTCTGTTGTCCGTCCCGCTGGCCAAAAAATCCAGAAACGCCCCTGGACCCAGAAGAAGAACCCCCTGGTCAACAAGGCCGTTCTCTTCCGTCTCAACCCCTATGCCAAGACACTGCGCAGGCAGGAACTCCGTAGGTCTTATTTTTTCCGATTATCTGGCGCAGGACTGACGCACGTCATACAGTCAAGCAGGAGCGCCTGAAGAAGAAGGATGCCAAGAAACCCAAACAGCCCAAGGCCGCCGGCAAGGAGTTCCGCGACACCCTCTTCGCCCCCTGAAAACCTTCTTGAGGATGTTTCTGTCGCTTACGATCCCTAGGTTGCTTATGAGGATTCTGTCATTTTGTATGCTACGCCTGTATATGCAATCTCGATTATGATACACACCCGCACCGACATGGATGACGAACAATCACTGAATGCGTTTGTTGACTGGAAAAGAAGACTATCGTGGTGACATTGAACCAGCACTGATTGTGTGGTGATGATCGATGGTTCATTATTCCACCTCGCTAGGGAAGTTGCTTGCGCAATGTAAGGGCGTAGTGAAGAAGGGCTGACACTTTCTCAATACAATAATATTAGCGTAGCGGACGTGCAGTTAATAACTACCGCCACCGCCACCGGATCGGCCAGCCACACAATCGTCTACTTTTCGTTGGGAACCAGACTTGTTAAAAATGTTTATTGTTGAGGAACAAGATAATGTCTTTGTACGCCCTTGGGTGTTCTTGCTGGACGGGTATGGACTTTCGGATCGAATTTTGAGACTGCGACATTGAGGACTTGAGTCTAAGACGGCCGGCCGCCTTTAGTCTTATTGAACCGATGCGGACGGCCATCATTGGGAGAGCCAAGAACTATGTCCCAGCTCTAAACCTGGTGGTATCTTTATATGCATTCAGGGTGGGCAAGGAAGTCGAGCAAGTCGAGGCTGCCAGGAAGCCTAGAAAATTGATAGTCATCCTCTATGCAAAAGGAGAGTCAGGGTTGTGCCATGCTCGTTCCCAGAATTCATGGCGATGGTCTCATGATGAACCTCCGCCTTGCAACGACAATCAGAGCGCTGGCTGCACCGAATAAAATGTATCCGATCTACCTGGTTCGAACAAGTGGCCTCGAGATATGATTTTGAGTTGTGGGTAACCAATTACAGTCTCGCGCTCTTCCAACTGAGCTAAGATCGGCTTGCTGGTCTTGAGAATATTGCCAACAACCATTTCTATTGATTACTGGGCGGGAAGTGTGATTATGCTTCCTTCCGAGCACCGATAGCAGGTGTTGGGAGGAGAGGGGAGGGGGGGTGCTCCAAGTTTCAGGTGCCCAGGTGTCCCAGACTAGGAACAGCACCACGAGTGGCGTCGAAATATAAATATCATGTTTATATCTTGCGTACGTGCTGAGCTCGGAGACGGTGGGGTCAAGGCTAATATTAGTGCCCGACGACCGCATGCGGAAAGGGAACAGCTTGCAGGGAGCCGCAGCCAGTTGTGAAGGCGGAATTTGGATAAACAAAGGGGAGAGGAGAAGCTAGGAGAGGTAAAGAAGGCAGGAGGAACGTGTTGATGTTTAGCTGCAGCCATTACATAAATAGATAATAAAATAGGATAGCAAAATAATCAGCGACAATGCTGGCTTTGGCCCATCGTCTCTTACACACTCTCCGCAACTTTCTCGCCGCACACTTCCCTGCCTACACCCGCCTGCCTACTGCGCCACCGGACCAGCTCACTGCGCCCGACCCAGACTCTACAGACCCCGAATCGCCGCTCGCCGCTCTGCTGGATGTGGCCGGCGCCTCCCCCACAGCCCCGATCACCCATCATCACCTCGACACCATGCGCCGCGAACTCGATCATGCAAAAAGTGAGCTGGCCCGTTCCAACGATGAGCTAACTCGCCTGTACGAACGCTGCCGCTTGCTCGAACGTTCCCTCCGTGACAGCAGAGATGCCCTCAAAACTAGAGACTCTGAGATAGACAGGCTCAGGAGGGAGAAGGAGCGCGAGCGCAAACGCGCCGAAGCCCAGGTTTCTGGGAAAGATTTGTACAGGATGGGATCTGCGGCAAGTTTGAACCGTGACCATCGCTCTTCAAGCGCCCTCTCGACGACTGACTCAGACTCGCTATCGTCGACTGCAGCTGTGAACGAAGAACGGGCCAGAGCACGCACTCTGGACGCATATCTCACGCGAACAGATACGTGGTCTGGTGCCCAGGTCCTCCAAGCTGTCCACGACATCAACTCTGAGATTCTGCAGTTTGCTGCTGCAGCAACAGAAGTATGTACATTCGACCGCAATTCCCGACCTTCCTCCTCTCGCGCCATACAAGCTATGCACGACACTTCGGCCCGCATTGGACCAAACCTTGCGCGTATTCTTGCCAACAGAGACCACTCCCAGGATCCCATTCTTGTCCAGCTCGCGTTGCAAGGCTGCCTCACTCTCTGCATCACCCGCGCACTTTCCACCTTCTGCGTTGGTTTCCCTTCCAAATCTGATGGTCTTCTCCACCAAATATATCACCGCATGGCACTCGCAGGTACTTCTTTATTATCCTAGTACACGTATTATCCAACTCATTGAATATCGATCCGCAGAACCTCAGCCCACCTCCTCCAAATGGCGCGCACTGACCCACCAACACATTCACGCAATGTACCCCACCCTCACTGAATACTCCATCACCGAACTCACGGACACGATTCTCCGGTGGTCCGCTGACATCTTCCTCATCGCTGGCTGCCTCACATACGAGATGCCCCAAAACCACGCCCGCACAGCATCCTCCTCCTCTTTGACCTCCGTCTCATCCACAAACTCAGCCACTGCAGGTCTCCGCGCACGTTTCGGCGATCACATTCGCCAACTCTCCAAATCCGTCATCAGACTCGCCAAAGTCCTCCGCGAAGAAATCCTTTCGACATCCTTCGAACTCATTGCTATTGACCCAAGCAATCCTTCATCAACATCCACAGCCACGTCCGCGGCTTCGTCGGCATCTTCAAACCCAGCATCAGGTGGCAACGTTGGTCCGATGTTTCACGAACGCACAATGGTTGATGCGTTTGGCGAGTACGGCCATTCGCGTGGGGCTGTGTTGGCTACGACGGAGCTTGGGTTGAGGTGTGTCACGCGGATGGGTACGCGGGAAGGTGTCGGAAGTGAGGAGGAGGTGTTGCTTGAACAGAGGGTATTGTTAATGCCCAAGGTTGTGTTGGAGGGCGTGCTGGATGTGTTGGATCGGTAATTTGACTTAATGTTGGGCGCTTAAGTGGTGACGAAGCTGAGGAGGCCGTTTTTGGAAAGTCTTTGGCTTTTTTTGGAAAGTGAATTGGGGGTGCTGGTATTTTTACCCATGACGATCGAGAGGCTTGGGGCTTCGAAAGGTTGATGCCGTGGTCTTCAGCGCTCAGCAATGATGTCTGCGTGGATACGCCATGCCTTGATTGTTCCTTTCATCCATGAATGCATTCATATACGCTTCCTTGCGTCATGCATCACGACTGCCCACTTGCCACGAGTTGCGTTTGATACCACTTCCCACACCTTGAATGTGGCCTGCTCTTGTCTATTGGAATACCTTTTAGATACCATATGTTTGGATATAACTTCATCTTTGTTCCCGGACCCCTGCTTGTACTTTTATTATTTTCTGAAAACTTTCTTTATCGTGTTTGTTTTATCTATCGGTTCATGGTCTTTTGATATTTATTCGGGATGTGATTACACTAAAAATATATAATATTAGCGAGTTATTTATTCCCTCCTCGACATACTCAGTAAAGAAAAAAAGGATCCATATCTATGACGTTGATTGTGTATATAAACTCAACATTGCATTACGGTAGTGGGAAGTTGAACCCTATAGTTGCCCATGAGCTCGGGACCTTCGAGCCTGACGAGGACTGAGTGCAGTGGGTGATCTTTTCCAAGCGGTTGCGTATCGTGTGGAGACTAATCGGAACCGCCTAGGACGAGGGTCCGTTGACGCCTCTCAAGGTCAAAGTGGTGTTGAAGGAACTGAGGAAAGGGATCTACTGGAAGACAAAAGGGCAAATCTATACTATGTTATTCTAAGGATTTTATATGCAGAGAACAATGGAATAAAAACCCATATACACGTGCATGGCACGTCGAGCCACAGGCCTGTGGACATTTCACGGATTGCCCCTGAATTTCAACAAGCAGCCTGGACCTCAAAACCAGCGGCTGTTTTATCGAGTCTGGTTGTCAAGAATCGAATATACTGAACTTGCGAAGGAACGTGGACATATGGCCCAACCCCCTTGGCCCCCTTTGAAAAATAAGTCAGCGTGTAACCAAAGTACCTCAAAGCCTTTAGACATCCAAGACATGATTGAAGTCCCAACAACCCCACGCCAATCCAATCTATTAGTACATACATTCTAGGAGCCCGCCCACGGAAGCACGAGGGTCAGTAATGACATGGGCACATGGTGTAGTTGGTTATCACGCCCGCTTAGCATCTTTCGTGATGTAATGCGGGCGGTCCCCGGTTCAATTCCGGGTGTGTCCATTCTTGATTTCTGTTACCCGAATTTTTACAGTGGATTTTGTGATCGCCAGAGGGAGCGACTGAGGTTTGGACTTTGAGGCCTCGAGGCCTCTCAGGACGCCACTGAGCGCTGAGGATTGTTTTAATTGATGGGCATATCACTCTGGAGCACCCGCGATCATTGAGTAGTCGATTGAATCGCTGCAAGTCTACGTGTTTGGTCGACGCTTCAATGCGAGCTGGTGAGATACCATGAAGTAGATGATTCTGGAATTCATGTTTGATGACACGTCCACGGCTATTAACTGTTCTTTGCCTTTTCTCATCCCAAAGGGACAACGGGGTACGCGTTCCAGGCATTTGGTTGTGCAGATGTTTTGCAAGGGCGGGGGTGTCTTGTAATTGATCGAGTTGGTGATGTTAATTTCAATTTGTACGTATAGTACATACTACAGACTGGTTCTGGTTCTTTACTGCCCGCAATCCAGTATCGGTGTTAGCGACGTTGCCTGCAGAGTCAGGTACATTCCAATCTTTCCGGTCCACTCCAGAGGTTTCATCCGGGGGTTTTAAGTGACTAGTTGAGAGACTCTGTCTCCAATCCAGAGACTATCATCAACGCTGGTGTGCAAATCCCGATTCAAGTTGTACCTCATGTCGGTGTTTCATCCACACTGTGCGCACTCAGCGTCTTTCATCCACTTCCCCTATCTCTCTTAGTTCTGGTTTACGAAAAAAGAGAATAATATTGATGCACTCAGCTTAGATTAGGGGATGAGAGATAATGGAGAGATAATGTCTGACGTGCCAACCTGTTCCTTCTCTGCCAACCTGTAACTCACGGCACATTGCTATGTTTTGCCATCCCTTAATATCATACTGTCAGGCAGACTCAACAATTTGAAATCCTCAATGTCAGCAAACACACCCACCCTTGTCTTTAGCACATCAATATTTGATTGTGGAGGGAGTAAGGCATTCATCATGGGCCGTTTGAATGACGCGCAATTTCTCCAGAGTCCAGTATGCACATTTTGTGCTGTGGCCGGAGGTGGAGGGTTGGCTGTGAGAGGACGATAAGATGAGTGTATTGGGGGCAAAACAGCGGGGAATACAATGCAATATTCTACTGTATTTAATTGAGTGAGAAAACAATAAGGAATGATGGACAATAAAATGGCTGGGCATTTCTTGGATTTCCCAGTTATGGTAACCGAATTTCAACATTGACTGAAAGATGAGAAGCAGGGGGAGTAGGTAAAGTCTTGAGAGTCGCGAGTCCGAATGGCAGAATAGAGTTTGCTAGCAGTGTATTATATGATATGGAGATCACTAGTCTGGGTAACTACCCGAGCCCTCAAGCCTCATCGACTGTCACCCCACGAAATGGAAGTGTGTTGAAGAATGGGCCATACCTGGGGCGGTGTTTTCTGAAAAACGTACTGAAAATTATTATCCCACACTACAGCAACTGAATTGGTGCCTTCCCCGAGCAAGAAATATCCAACATCAGGAGGATTGTCAAAGTCCTACGAAGCACAACACTATCAGACAAATGATACAGGCAACCGAATAATTTAGACTCACCAAAGGTTTCGATTCGGGATACTGCTTTACCACATTCGAAAGAAGTGCTTGGTCCCAGTCCGAAATGCTCTGGGTCCGA